TCGATGTCTTCCCACAAAAACGAGGAAAAGTACGAACGAAAATTTTAAACATATACAGTCCTCCCAAAAACCGGAATGACGACTTCGGCCCACTCCTAAACGAGGCAGTTCGAGCCGTTGGCACCAGAGATCAATTAGTGGTGGTGGGCGACTTTAATGCTCCGAGCACCGCTTGGGGCTACGTCCGGGATTCACCCAAGGGAGTGTTATTAGAGAACACCACGTCTAAATTAGGTTTTACCCTTATCACTCTGCCAACAGCACCCACCAGGCTTGGTAATAGCATTAGCAGGGACACGTACCCTGATTTGACCTTCACCTTCAACATTAAAAATGCCACGTGGTCAAACCTCGATGAAAACCTTGGTAGTGACCATTATATTCTTAGCACCTCTATAGCATCACCAAAAGTTCGTCGTGTCGCTGGTGACGTTGTGATGACAGACTGGGTGACCTTTCGAAAGCGCCCTCTGCCGGAGCAAACGCCCTGTGATGTCAGTGGGTGGGTTGCTTTCATTCGAGAAACGCATGATGCCACCTCTAAGAAAATAGCGCGCACAGTTGAGGCGCCTGCGATAGACCGGCACCTATTGCACATGTGGGATAGTAGGCGACGCCTGATCAAGAGATGGAAAAAACAACGCCTCAACCGCTGCCTCTACAGGCGAATCGCTGCTCTGTCGGAGGAAGCGAATGAATACGCAACGAAACTTGCCACCGATGGTTGGGTGCAGTTTTGCGGTTCTCTCCGCGGTACACTAGGGACTAGCCAGACGTGGGCGATACTGAGGTCCATGCTGGAGCCGGACAAATCTAAGTCCTCCATGAACCGCATTCTTCAAAGAATAGTACACAGCTACCCCGGCACCGACGGAGAGTTGATCCAGGCGCTTAAAGACCGTTATATCGGTACTGATGTGGTTCCGCCATGTACATTAGAGTACATCGGCAGCGAGAATGCCACATTAGACGCCGCAATCACGAAAGAAGAGGTTTTCGCGGCAGCCCAGGCAGCCAATCGGAACTCTGCGCCGGGGTCGGATGGTATAACAAACGCTATGATAAGAAACCTCAGCACTGAGGTTCTTGAGCAGATAACGCAATTTCTTAACGACCACTGCTGGTCCCAAGGTCACGTTCCTCCGGAGTGGAAGGAAGCCAAAATAATAACTATACCAAAGCCCGGTAAAGCACCATCGCTCGGAGCCCTGCGGCCCATTTCGCTTACTTCGTGCATGGGCAAGCTCTACGAGCGAGTAATACAGACACGGCTTCAAAATTACATTGAAAAAGAAAATCTGTTTCCCGCTACCATGATTGGTTTTCGCTCCGGACTCTCAACCCAGGATGCCTTCCTCCTTTTAAAAGAAGAGGTCATGAGTTGCGTACCCAGGGGAGGCGAACATTTGGTCTTGGCCCTCGACCTCAAAGGGGCCTTTGATAATGTTTCGCACGAGGCCATTCTCTCTGAACTCAACACAATCGGCTGCGGAAAGCGTACATTTAACTACATTAAATCCTTCCTCTCTGGGCGGACGGCAACTATTGGGATAGGCGACACGAGGTCGGTGCCGTTCTCGATGCCAAATAAAGGCACACCGCAAGGGGCAGTCATCTCCCCCTTGCTCTTTAACATAGCTATGCGCAGACTTGCTCACGAGCTCGAAGCAATCCCGCACCTTGGATATACATTGTATGCGGACGACATCACACTCTGGGCTACGAAGGGTTCACTGGCGCTGAAAGAGCAGACCCTCCAGGCTGCTGCGACAGCTGTGGCAGAGTTCGCAAGAAATAGTGGGCTGAGCTGTGCGCCTGAAAAATCTGAACTCATAAGAATACACAGTAAGTATTACAAAAGTAACGGTGCCATAAACTTACAGGTAGACGGCCATGCCATAGCCGAGGTTACTCAGGCCCGTATACTTGGCTTCTGGGTCCAAAGCAATGGCAAAGCCAGTCACACGATAACCACCTTAAAGACTACGGTTAAACAGATAGCTAGAATGATCCGTCGCATCACTTATCATAAAAAAGGCATGAAAGAAAAGGATACTCTCCGGCTTGTCCAGGCCTTAGTTTTGAGCAGAGTGACGTATGGCCTACCGTACCACTCACTCGACAGAAGTGAGGAGAGCCAGGTGGATGTGCTCATTAGAAGCGCTTTTAAGGCAGCACTTGGTCTACCCACCAGCACACCGACCGAGCGGCTCCTAGCTCTCGGTATACATAACACTTATGCTGAGCTCAGTGCCGCAGTCCTCATGTCTCAGAGGAATCGTCTAAGTGAAACTTCAGCAGGCAGGGCGATACTCACTAGAATAGGAATTTCGCCCCACCCACAGCACATTGATGAGGAGCTGGTCGACGTAGCCCAAGAGGTCCGCAGGCGAATCTCAATCGCACCGGTGCCCAAAAATATGCATCACGACTTTCACGCTGAGCGACGTACTGCGAGGGTAAACTGGCTTCGAAAGCAATTCGGCTCAGCTTCAAATGTCGCGTACGTCGATGCGGCCAGTTTCGATTGGCAGAGACACATAATTACTGTTGTCGACAACAACATGACGCTGCTAACGAGTGCCTCCGTACGCACGACCTCGGCTACAAAGGCGGAGACGATGGCCATAGCCTTAGCCTTAAGGTTTCAGGAGCGTAGAGGGGAGCCATCAGTTATTTTATCCGACTCCCAGGAAGCCTGCCGGCTCTTTTTAAGGGGCCGCCTTCCAGCAATGGGGCTGAGGTTGCTAGGATCCAAACTCACTCACCACCATCGCTTGATCTGGTGCCCGGGACACGCAGGTCTCGAAGGCAATGAAAGGGCGGACGCTCTAGCTCGTGCGTTTTGTAACCGAGCGGAGAATCCATCTCTTTCATTGACCATGCCAATTTTACCTAGGGAGATTCTAGCTCACCAGCGCTTCACGCGTCAAAAATGTGGAACACCTCACAGATCCCTTAATGGGGAAGAGGCCACTGACCTTAGAAAAATTCAAACGGATGTATTTCCGCACCTACTGAAGTTACACGCGATACATCCAACTCTTTACCCGGCTGTATGTCCGTGGTGCGGCGGAAGACCGACTCTCTACCACATATCGTGGGGGTGCGATCGTAAACCAAGTGACATAACCAATTTTCTCGGCGAACCTTTAACACCTAGTATGGAGCAGTGGGAGGCACACCTCGCTAGCTCGGACCCAGGAGTGCAGCTCGCACTACTGGATCAAGTCCGGCGGGCGGCTAAGGCCAGTGGAGCCCTGGACGTAGGGCCCCAACCATAAAGGCTCTAAAACGCCCCTCTCCCTTTCCCCTTCAATAAAGTTTTACTCTCTCTCTCTTCAGAGGAAACACCACCGTGTGCAGAAATAGTGCAGCTACAAAACGAAGGGATGCAGCACGCCCACTAGTGTGGTTGATAGAACCGGGAATCCTAGTAACGGGCCCTGAAACCATGGATTTCAATATATTAGGAAATGACAAAAAAACACACGACACATTGACTTGTGTCATTCCTTCTCAGTAAAGTGGTTTGTGGAATACACCTTCGCGCACCAAAATAACAATGGAAAATATTCTGACGCCCACTTCATCTACCACTAGTGCCATCGCTGTACTGTGAGGCACAGGAAAACGCGGTCTTTTCAGCGCCGGATCACCTAAGCGACCGTCTTAACATTCAGAAAAACCGTATTCCGAGCATCTCCTCGTAAACTCGAGCACTCCTGTGCACTTACGGTTGCTCACGTTTCGTAACGGTCGCTTTGGAAACCAGGTTGTTAATGCCGAGAACCCACGTCTCGCGAAACAACTGCGTCGGCAGCAGCGCCGCCGGGATCTTTCCCGACGGCCAGGTGACCTCCGTGCTCGCACCGCCGCTGCAGGGGAGCGGCTACGGATTCGGCTGGAGTGCGTGCCATCGGGACGCGGCCTTGCGAGGGTTGGCCAGCATCTCCTTCCAGTGGCACTGGCCCTCTTCGGTGACGTTGGAGCCTCCAGGTCCGAGCTGGAAGCCGCCCAGCGACGCGGAGCACGAGACGCCCGACGAGCCGTGACGGCAGACTTGCACGCAGAGCTGGGCACGCGACAGCTGCTCCTCGGAGACGTCGAAGCTGAGCGCTTCGTTCCAGGCCGGCTGGGCGCTGCCTTTCTTCACGCTCGTCTTGCGCTTCTTGGTCTTGCGGTCGCCGCAGGTCAGGGACACCTTGACGCAAGTGTCTGCACACAAGCGGGTCACAACATACCGCTTAGATAGCAGTGGGGTTCACCTTTTGCGGTAGCTTGGTGCGCCGCCACACCAACTAGCCCACATAAACAAAGACACAGGGCGCATATGCAGAGTTACACAGAGCATTTTCTCGCGAGTGAGGTTTATATGTAAAGAATAGAATAAAGTGACTGCCAATCACGAAAGTAGAGCATTCATTACTTGAGCCAAATTGTGCATACAAAAGATCACCACCACCCCTCACCGCAAGTACTCAGTAAAGATATCAGACCGACAAAGCTGGAAATTGTAGCCCCGATGTTGACCACGTGCTTGGATCTATCGAAGTGTCATCTGTAATAGTTTATGTGATTGATTGATTTGTGTTGTTTAGCGTCCCAAAACCACCATATGATTATGAGAGACGCCGTAGTGGAGGGCTCCGGAAATTTTGACCACCTGGGGTTCTTAACGTGCACGCTAAATCTGAGCACACGGGCCTACAACATTTCCGCCTCGTCGGAAATGCAGCCGCCGCAGCCGGGATGCGATCCCGCGTACGCGGTCAGCAGCCTCCAGCGCGGCCTCTACACCCCCCCGGGGCAATACTACCACCAGGCGGGGCATTTTTTTTTATCACGGCATATAGAGTATGCTCTAAACTTCGTGCGGACGTTCCTTAATGATATTGAAGACGTCCAATAATTTTGTACGATAGTCAGCGTGGCGGTCGTCCCTCAAGAGAAATCATGCAGCGCGGGGGACTTTTCGAGGTAGCGTAGGGCAGCCCTAATTTTTTTTTCATTGTTCCTTCGCGCTCAAGGGCTTATGAACCACCTTCTATTCATACCCGGTTCCACTCAGAAAGCCCCCGAGAAGGTAGATTCCGCCCCACCGCGGTGGTCTAGTGGCTAAGGTACTCGGCTGCTGACCCGCAGGTCGCGGGTTGAAATCCCGGCTGCGGCGGTTGCATTTCCAATGGAGGTGGAAATGTTGTAGGCCCGTGTGCTCAGATTTGGGTGCACGTTAAAGAACCCCAGGTGGTCGAAATTTCCGGAGCCCTCCCTAACGGCGTCTTTCATGATCATACGGTGGTTTTGTGACGTTAAACCCCACATATCAATCAATCAATCGATCAATCAATTATCAATCGAGAAGGTAGATGCCATGTTCTAGCGGTGGGATCAACGAACTGGAGCGATACTATCATTGTTTATAATATTTCCACGTTCTGGCTGTGGCGCTTTTGTTTGCACTCATGATTAGGAGCGGAGCTGTTTAGGGGCTTGTCTTGTCCGCTGTCGTTCATGTTCATGTCACCCTTGAGATGGCATTGTCCACAGATTCCCCGCTGGGTCAAGAAATGGCTCTACCGCCTCACAAAACAGAGCGCCAGCGCGGAAGGCATCACTAGGAGAGTAGCGTGCCAATCAGCGCGTGGCATATGGTTTGAAAAGAGTAGATAACGGGAAGAAGAGTGCTCGCTTCAAGTGGTGTTTTGCCGCCATGGGTTCCGTTTTGTTATGAGGTGCGAGTACACTCACCAGTGTCGCTGCAGTCGTGCTGAACCAAGAATATTAAAAAAATATATATCGCCGCTGATTACGATACTGCCTGAATCCAGTTTAGAGCACGGCTATTCAAGAGTTTCGATATTGCGATAAGTTGAGAAGCCACTGCCTCGCTTACCGGGGGATCATGGATGGTAGCGCGTGCGTACGTTTTACAACAACCATCGCGGACAGATATTCGTTCATGCGGCGCGCCATTCTCTCACATGGCCTCAGGGGAACCCTAGCCGCATGCCATAGCGATGACGTCCTGGCCCACCACACGACCGTACGCAATACCCTGGCGTCGCGGAACCCGTCGTCTCGCCACTGTCGTTCCATCCTCCTAGAGTTCTACTCGCTACAGCCGTCTGTCATCCTCCGCTGCGCTCTGTTGGTCCCGCCGACGGCAATGCCGCTCCACGCAGCAAAGGGCGTCTATTAACTAAGCTTGAAAACTTGTTTACTATGGATGAACTCGTGGCCCGTAAAATAATTGCAAAGCTTACGAGTCCGTGGGAGCACCCAAGACGTTCCCACGACCAACGTGCATATTTTCCGAAACCTCGCAGGTGACGCAATTTCCGCCATCCATGCGCGAAAGGCATGTGTCGCTGTAACAAGAAGTGCGAGCAAGCACGAGGCATTGCAGACGCTAACACAGCGGTTCGGCGAATCTCGTGGTGAGAAACGTTTTTCGGGAGGTCTCTTTTTCGCTCTATCTGCCATGTTCGCTCTATCTGACAGGAACAGGTGCCTAAAAGCTGAGCTGTAATGAAGAAATAAGTAGGACAAAATAAGTATGTTTTTGGCCCGACAAGGTTCGTACCAAGACCCCTTGGAAAGAAGGCAAGAAGGCACCAGGCCACGCTTGCAGGGAATGAACTTGGGAACAACATGAATGCGTTACAACGGCGGTCAACACAAAATTTAATAGGTGAAGACTACACCTTATTCAGGTAAATATTTCTTCAATATTCAGATAAGGCATAAGCCTATTGGCACTTTACATTTAAAACACCAGGAAAACATATCGCATTTTCTTTAGATACTTGCACTAATTGTAATGGACAAAGAGTGAAGCCACCAGGGTGCCTAAGAAGGTAATGCAGATAAAAGTAAGCGCACGCTTAATACTGCCTGTATCGCTCCTTCTAGAGTCTCCCATAGGAAATATACGGTGCTATATAGACAATTTTTTTTGTTTCGATTATGGTTTAAGTCGCTGCGGCGTTCAAGAGGCAGCTTCTAAGCTCCACAATTTTGTCGATGTCAATGGGACCTCTTCAAGCGTGCGGCCCACGGGACGGCTTTCATTTCTTCCATAGAAGAGTACCAAGTACTCTAATTCGTTAACCACTTTCTCTGAACCGAGTGATGCCAACCATCGAAACTTATCCCTTATCATATGTGCGTAGTTAAAGGCTATAGTCGTTTGCTCGCTGGTATTCGAGAAACTTCGCGAACTCGTTCACGGCGTAATTTTTTGTCGATGTGGCCAAGAGACGGCTTCCAGCTTTCCCATAGTAGAGAACCGAGTACTCTGAATCGTTATCTTTCTGAATAAGTGTAACGCTCCTTTCGAACTCAATCACGGCATAATTTCTGCCGACACGGCCTCACGAAGTGCGATGCCCACGGGACGGCTTTATGCTCTCCCATTTGTAGAGTACCAAGTACTCTAAATCGTTAGCATTTTTTTAAACACGTAATTCTGCGATGTTTTTTAGGAATGTTATTATTGTCCACTGTTTGTGAGAATACATTTCTCTAAACACATACTGTGACAACTCAAGGCTCTTCCGTAGAGCAGTATACCATACTCTAAATCGTTAAACAATTTTTCTGAACACATAAGGTACAACGATTCTTTCCCGAATGCTCTGTTTTGAAAACTCCGCATTCGCTCATCGCAAAGTTTATTCGGTTCTTTTAAAATAAGCCCCAGTGGCGAGTGAGAGCAGCAGTTGTGTCTTGTCTGACTGCTTCTCGCACTGCCATCATTACGCCATGAGTATGGTATAGGTCCTTCACAGCGCACATACATTGACATGACAAGTTGTTTTCGAACATTATCACAGAGTGGGCATGTAATGTATGCCTCATGTGCAGAGCAATGAGCGATCAGCTATGGTCGCACAGCTAAGGTACTTAGGTGAGGCCACGGTTCCGGCACGGGATCCTGTAAAAATAGGGCAGTGACTGCTTTTCTAACAACTTTAATGCACGGATAGTCCGCTATTCCAAGTGTATGATACAGAGGTATTAGTGAGCCACATACATTTGATGCGAAGAACATCTCTGCTAGGATTTCCCGGCTATACTCAGGGCGCATTGCACCTAACGTTAAGTAATTACAAAACTATTTGCACCATTTAGTTGGAGGCAGAGCATGCGGTAGTTTATACTTCTGGCTGCCTTTTCAGTCGTACAGAGGCTGTTCACCCACACTTACATAGATATGACAGGTGCCACCAGTTTCAAACTTTCAAAACATTCAGAACACTTTTAGAGCTTTAGGCCAGTGTGCTAAATTTTGCGTAATGTAAAGGTTACCATGTATACGCGATAAGCTAACTGAAGATAACGTGTCACCATTAAAAACCATTACTGTAGAGGGATATACGTTTAGGATCCAACAGCTTTTTCTTCTCAAAAGCGCATGCGCACCGCCTTGTGCCAATGGGCGCACTCTCTAGACTGACGTCACAAGCCGTACTGCCGATGACCCCATTTTCGGGGAGCGTTGCTGAAGTAAAGTAGCGATTTGAGCTACTCAGAAAGTAGACGTGACGGCCATCGTAAACAAGACACGAGACAAAAATGGCTCAGACGCCGTCTATCAACTGAAAGTTTATTAAAAAAAACCTGGCATATTTCTACCTTAAAAGAATGATTTCTGAACGTCCACTTAGCAAAGCACGCGAGCTCTCTGGAGAGTGCACCGTCTACGAATCTTACATTCCGTCTTCGGTGGTGCGGTTGTGCAGCTGAGCAGAACAAAACGGCTGTATTGATGAGGCGCAAGTACGAGCACTAGAGTGAAGCTGCAGAAGACAGTGAAATGACGGAAAAACTCTGCGTTGAAGCATCCCAAAAAAGGCCTGTCGTTAGTAAAAGCTAAAGACAAGAGCATAGGCTAGCCATCAGTGGTTCTCACTGATGCAGAGGTTTGTAAGGTACACGGGATTGAAAGCTAGATCTGGGTGATCCGAGGTTATACGCTCCAAAACTAGGAAATGATTAAGAGGCGTCGTGGAGCAGAGGGCTCTGGAAATTTTTACCATTAAGTGTTCATTGTCGTGCACTGACATCAAACTATGTACAGGCCTCTATCATTTCACCTCTACAGGAATACGACCGCTGTAGCTGGAATCAAATTATCGACCTTCGGGCCAGCAGCCGAGCACCTTAACCACTGATCCGCCGTGGTGAACTCCCTTTCTTTCGAGATATGCCTCACCATCTAATTAAACTTTCAGTTGGTAGACATCGGCTGTGTCGTATACTTTCTTGTGTTTCGTGTCTTTTTCACGCTTTCCGTCATGAATCAATATTGCTGAGCGTACGAACAGAGCGATTTCTTTAGCTGCGGAGGCGACCATCTGCCAAGCTTCGGTCGTCTGGTCGGGGCGCCTCTGGATCAAATTTTACCCGGCTATAGTTGGACAAGTGAAATCAATTATGCGTTTACTAAAGACGTCGGATTGGTTGGATGGATGCGAAACTTTATTGTACAAAAATAAATCACATTCAACAAAAAGATGACACAATGCTCAATTTCACAATGGAATTCCACGGCAACCTCACAGATGGTCCTTAGTTTACGTCAGCGCGAGAAACTTCAAAGGCTTCGGAAATTATGCTTACGCGTGTTATGTGGAGAAAGCTTGTTTCATTCCTACGCGTGCCAAATATTAACCTTACAGCACTCACCCGGTTTATCCTTGTCAGAATCGGGCACCAGGTTGGCCGCCTCCAATATGACCACCGTGAGCCTTCCTGCTGACGGCAGGTAGCTGAGCGACAGCAGCAGCTCTGGCCAGTCGCGCTTCGCCTGCGTAACCGAGGCAGCGTTCGATCATGTTGTTAACACTAGTGGGGCTACACACGAGCACAGGGCAAGAACAGTAACGAAAGTATACACTGAAGAACAAGTTCACACAGCGAAAACTAATGCACGTTTATGCATTCACCAAGAATAGCTCGAATATCGAAGCCATCTTTGTCATTCTAGTCGGCACATCAATTTTCCTCCACCTATCTCAGAAAACTTTACGCACTATATACCACATTTCAGCGCTAGCTGCGGGATCAGAGACATTTCACGCCTTCTACGCTTCAACTGCTTTTGCGTGGCCTCCGTGATCTGCTCGACATTGACCAAGTGACTGTCACGTGACGACGTCGTCACGTGACATCACAAATTTTGGCGATCTGTGACGTAATTATGCTGTTCTGTGATCTCTGACGTAATGATGCTAATGGTGCTCGAGAAAGACGCACAAAGGACTAGCGGTTGTCCCTTGTGTGCCTTCCTCGTGTGCTGTGGTCTTTTTGTCGCGCTAAGTAATTCTCGTCATAAGGCATCGCCGTCATGTGATGGCGGGTTGCATCACTCGTGCCGACGCCGATGTACACTTTTCGCGTTTGACATGCCATTTGAGACTTTCGCCTTGAAAGCTTCGACAATGGCTGTGCTAGCGCTCGCACACGAGCGATGGTGAAGTACTTCCGGTGTTTCGCATCTGCAACTCCGCCTCAATTAAAACTACGTCTGTGCTGTTAGGATATTTTAAAGTTGAATCCGAATAATAGAATCCATGTTCGAATTCAATCGAACATCCGTGGGATATTTTTGAACAAGAGTGGCACCTAAATACTTAACATAGCGGAACAGAACAATGACATAGAAAGCTTAACACAAGATTACTGCTAGTCCTCTGAGTATCTTTCTCTGTCTTTATTTTGTACTGCTACAATGTGTGTTTGAGTCAAAACCAACTGGCCCGAATTTCAGCTTGAATAACACTGCGTCCGTCGTGGTCTTATATGGTTACAAATGAAACGAGCCAGCCCACACAGGGTGCCACCTGAGCTTCCGTTTCGAGATGCCGACTTGTCTTCTGAAAAGCTGTGTCATGACTACTTGCCTTGTTCAAGGAAGACAAGTCCGCTGGTCTAAACATTTGCTTCACCGGCACCCTGTGTTCATAAACTTTCGATTGCTACAAGCTACCGCGTTTCCCAGACATTCTGGCTTTTATGGTTTTCTCAAGTCGAATTGGTGGCCATAGCTGGCAACAAAAACTAAAAGGCAGTGACTCCCAATTATAAAGCAAAATAAAACGTGTTTTTAAAGTGCAGTGTATGGTGAGAATTTAAATACCAAGTCCTGCACTTTCGATTGCCCTACTAACCGAGAATAGTAGAACGACTGGGTCAAGGCCCAAGAGTAACGCTATGCCGGCAATTTTAAAGCGTTTGTAGCAATGTAGGATTGATTTTAAGAGTGCTTCAGACTATGGTGATGTAGAGGAACCTCGTCACGCGGTGGTCGACGAGCGAAGAATGTACCGACTACTGTGGTCGTTTCCTCGGCTTGCTTGGATATGGACTCACCTTTTCCGTCTTCTCGATGTCACACCAAACCTCGGTCTCAGTCGTGACATCGACGTCGGCCAGGGGTACTCGAACTTCTCCCGTCACATCGTTTCTCGAGTATCGGTCGTAGTCGAATACCTGCGCACCCGCAAACACGAGCGGTGAAAGGCGTTAAAGTGTATTGCAGATATCCAGAAATGGATTACGATTATGTGAAAACACACTGACCTTATAGCCTAATTCATTCGAATGATTTGTTAGACATGAAACTCAAGTGATGATGACGACGGCGTGTGAAATCACTGACCCTTTAGCCTAAATCATTCGGATCACTATCGAATTCAGGCACTCTGCCCGAAATGTGCAAGTTATACTTAGGGTACCGATATGCATATCACTTACCAATTACAGCCTCGCCACTACGCCAATCTTTTAACCACCGCGTCCACTTGGGCGTTGAAAGCGGTATGTTACCATAGCATGTTGTCATTTTCTGAAGGAATATTTTTATTTGTGTGGACTCAAGACGTAAGTATTTGCCCGGACTACAAAAATGAAGTAACTTCAGTGCTTTGTAGATACTTTGTCTACTTTATGTTCTACTGCCCTTCGATACGTCAACGAGAGATTGTATTCCCACTTTTCTTAGCAGCCACCACATTCCGCTGGAAAGAAAAAAACAATGCAAAGCAGCAGCCAACGTAATATGCACTGCAGTTTTTATCGGTGCAAGACTAGACGAGCGGACTAAGAATTGAAAACAGCGAGCATTCAGCGGCGTCTGATTCTTACTCCATTCCTTATTTTGCGCCTAAACGTTTTCCTATTCAGCAGGCAATATGCAGATTTAGTTTGGCCACAAACTTTATTTGCGTCGCCTCACACTGGATACCCTAGGCGTACTCGAAAGAGGGTGGATAGCTAGTGCCATCTGCAGGCGTCGAAATGAACCAGGTGTGAAATTGGTGGGAACTCTAGACAGAGACCTAGTATCGAATGAATTACCGTGAAACATTTTTTCTCCGCAAGGAAACAAGGTGAAAACAATCAACGTGACTAAAATTGAGTTGCAAGAAGCGTCGCAAGATGTCAGTACTTCATGCAGCAACAAATATTCCATAAACTAATTTGCGTATACTGAAATACCAGACCCGTGCCAAACATTTACACTCTAAGAAAAAAAAAGAGTATGCGTGTCTCCCTTCGGGTAGTCCTGGCATGCAACGTATATGCCTCGCATATTTAAGGGCACATTCTATTGCGATAGCAATAATTTGGACACTCTACACTAGATTTTGTTATCTGCGTCGGCGTCACTAACCGTATATGTATACGTATCTACATATATGAAAATGCAAGAAAAAAAAACCCTGAAAAAAGACTCCGTTGCACGGAATCGAACATGGAACCTCCGAGTCGTGAATACGAGGCTTTGACCACTGAGCCACCACAAAGCTAAATGGCAAGTTATTTATATCTACCGCTCACCGCTGGTGATGGGCATCTCGGTGGGGAACTATCGCCTTTTCAACATTACCAGCAAGATTACCAGCGCGCCTTCGCATCTCCCACGGTCACTTTGCCCCTCGATTAGAGAAGGTAGACGGCTCACTCACGCGCCTTTATCTGCCGGTGGGGCCGATCGTACGTCTTGGCCGGCGTTGGTATTTCACTAGAACGTTTTTGTTGAAGTTACTGGGCGCATAAAGGTCACTGCAATCGTTGCACAACCTCCATTAGAGAAAAGGGCGCTCTTTTCAGACACAGCAAATTAACAACTGACACGCTAATTCGCGTTCATCTGTACCTGTGAATATGTTTTGAGCGTTATTTGTGCGTAAGAAACGCGGGGGACGTTTACACCTGCTTGCCATTCTCCGCGAGACCTTCAAATTTGTTGCCATCACGTTTATTGCTTAGCCTATGTGGCAAAGTTGTGACTTTTCCTTTGTTAGACAACATATTACTGTTAACTAACAGACAATGACGGCAAGGAAAGTATATATAGGGGGTCTTATTAGCATCAATTGTTAATGTCAACTTGAAGAAAGAAAATTTGACAAAATATTAATTTCTGTTGGTAGGGACCAAACCTGCGACCTTCTATAGGTTACAAGTGGCCCTGACTGACACCTACGTTTAAGTGCATATATATACCCCATAGAGTGAACGGGTAGATGACGGCCGCTATGGCTCAGTTGACAGAACGTCGGACGCGGTATTTCAAGGTCACAGGTTTGGTTTCGACCGGCGCCAAGTTATCTTTCGTGCACTTTCTTCAGATTGACGTTATAATTACTACAGTACCATCCCCTATACATTCCTTCACATCATTGTCTGTTTTCATTAATATTGTGTTTTTTTAAAGAGACACGTTAGCTCCCTTGTTTGTCACGCGACTCTCGGAAAAGAGCACAGTGAACTACAAAGAGAGTTATATTCGTGGCAAGCAAGAACTCTCAGAAAAGAGTAAAAAAAAACTCTCTTTTTAAGAAATATATTCTTTGTTGAGATAATTCGACAGACATTTTGGTCTGTCTGTCTGACTTTCAGCCTTTCACTCACTCGAAACGATTGCGCCACTCGGCCCAAGTTAAATCCCTTTGTGAATGCCTACCCATCTTGACCTGGTGGCTGCGTTCATAGTACTGAACATTCTCGATCAAAAAGCAGTTATTACGCATACCTGAAACACAACTACAATACGCAAGTATTAGGCGGTGTGTTTCTTTTTAGAACATGCATAGATACGTAATATTTAAGAGCCTAGTCTCTCTTACGCTGCGCTGACAGTGCGACACTATGCCGAAAAAAGCGGATGTTTCTTACGCTTCCCTAAGACCATACGGAGCTGCCCATCTACCAGTGGCTCTGCGTTCTATAAGCTTCTGTTTCCTTTGACTACTGCCACATGGCGTCCATATCTAACACAGCCCCTCCAGGCAGAGACCTATCGTCTTTCAACGACATTTTCAGCGAGGCACGCACGATGACAATGCTCTTTTTTTTTCTAAGAGTGCAATGAGCCAAAAAGGTGGACAGCAGCCACCCGATGCTGTTAAGACTACAGGCGCGCACCTGGAAGAGTAGCGTCCTGGAGGGCACGTCGTCAAACGAGACGGGGAACTTGAAGGTCTCGTCGAACAGTGGGTCCGTGGAGCGGCGCCGCATCAGCGCCTGCCGCTGCTTGCTGTCCACCTCGGGAAGCAGCGCCACCCGCACGCACGGCTCGCCGAAGCCCCCGGCGCCTCCCTGATGGTCCATACGGGGCCCACCTAGCTCCATGGCTGCACACAACCACACATAAGGCGTCACTGCATCGGCAAGCATAGCCTTCTGTAACCGTACTATGGGGAAATGTGGCATTATTAGACAATTATAGTTTAGCGTTAGTGTGATAGCGTAGGTTAAGGGAATGGTGTTATCGTGCAGCAAACATTTGTTGTGGGCAGCGTCTTATAGTTCAGCGGGATAGCGTTTGCGTGGTATACGTGCCCAGCTGGTATGGTGGCGCCACCTATTAGATGGTTAATAAAATAAACAATGAAAATGAAAAGAAAGGGAGAATGTTTGCATATGATACCGCGCGAAGCATTGTTAGAAGTATATTTTAGTAATAATAAAAGTAAATAAATATGAACCACGCACCAAACGCAAGAACATCTATGTTGCCGATTTGTTTACATCGATCTTGTAGTTAGGCCTAGACGCGTTCAAAATGGGAAGCTATCTCAAAAACTACGCCAACTTATCTGTAATACTCGGTCATGGTAGCTAACTGAAGGCAAGCGAAGCCACTTTGAACAGTCGTTTGTTGCGAACAAGGTGAATCTTTCAACAACTACGTCAAGATCACTTCGAAGCGGGCGTCCGAGGGCGCCGTCATGTTTACGTACACCACGTGCACCTACGCTACCACGGTAACGTGAAATCTGAAAAATACCGTGCGTACGGGAAGCGGTACGGGTGACGTACGTATTTGCGCATGCGCACTTCGATTCCGGTTTCACGGTACACCCGGTAACCCGCTAAGCCCGGTATACTATAACTCTCTATTGTCCATGGGACTCCAGTGCGACTACGCAATGATAAACCGCGGACAACACGGTAGACGTCCAGCGCAAACTTTCATCTCAACTTATTGTGTCACTCGATCCGTTTATGCACTGACACCGAAAGCATTGAGTCCGCAACATATAAACGCATTACGCAGTAAGCACTTACGCACTAAACAGAAACGGATGCAGTGGCACAATAAACACAATTGCGCTGGCTGTATCTTATCTGTCCTCCGTGGTTTTTTTCGTTTTGCAATCGTACTCAGGTTATGAATTATCAACTTGCGCAAAATGCTGCTCTCTTTACAGCCAATGGAAGCCGCAACTCATGACTCTTCCGCTAATATGGCAATGATGAAAGTAATATCGGCGTCAAATGAAACACGAACAACGGAAAGCATAGGCAATGGTATAGAGCGTGCCATCGAGTTATAACCGCGGACAGGCCCGCTTGCGCGCCCTCCTGCCAAACGGGACGCGAGCGCTTTTCAGTGCTTATGGATGGAGTGCACGCCACACCATTACGAATGCTTGCCGCTGTTGGGGCTTCATTTTACGCCGACGGTGCATGGATTTCCCTAGGCCTCGCTCTTTCGGCTTCGCGTGGTGCCGTGTCGGCCTCTTTGTCGCGAGGCAAAGTTGAGCAGCGGCGGCGCAACCTCGGCCCTTTTAGGTTCACCAATTCGAATCGGTTCACGAGGTTCGATCACAACCAGCCATTTTTTTTTATTCAATACAAATGTCAATGAAAAACATTAAACCAACTCAAACTTTTGCTTGAAGCCGCAAACCCGAACACAAGCAAATAATAATAATAATAATAATAATAATAATAATAATAATAATAATAATAATAATAATAATATACTATTACTACTACTACTACTACTACTACTACTACTACTACTACTAATAATAATAATAATAATAATAATATATGGAGTCTTACAGGCGGCGATGCGATGCGGGGACGTTGCAGGACATTCTTAAATCCAGACAGCGTCCAATCCTAATGATTGTAATCAGCCCACTTACTAATTTCGCGTACACTCAACGCCTTCCTTTTGTTTTGCCCCGGCGTGAAAAATGCTTACCATCATCGTCATATTTATTCAGCATGAAGGTCGAAATCAAACATTCAGTTCTCTACTCAATGAATCAGTTGTTGATGCAGCTGTAATAAGGTGTAATACAGGTGTAATACACATTATTTTTTGCAGAAGGAGGTCGCAGGGTTACAAAACGTATGCAGGGCCTCTTTTTTTTTCATACGCTAACGAAATGTGTAAGGTAAACATGTGAAGAAAAAATAACAATTGTCAAAACATTCTGCGGCACGCAAGAGTTATACAGGAAATAAAAATATTTTTTTGACAAATCTGCCTGGAAGCATATGAGAATTTCTTTTTTCATCACAAGTGAAAGTAACGATCGCAAAGAAATGAAGAAAAAACAACGCTAATTTTGGCATCATTTAAAGTGAGCTGGGCAACAGAAGGCCATTCTGGAGCGAATACGCCTAGTACTTACAATATTATGGGCAACAATAATTTATGCGCTCTAACGTCATATTTGGTGACATCGCCATAACCGAGGTCTTTTTAAACAACCTGAGATTCTTTAGCATACACCTAATCTAAGAGCATGGTTAGACGAGTCTACCTGCCATCGCTCATAAACATGTGGGCAAAAAGAAAGCAGAGTTTCATCATAGGTACAAATAATGCCATAGCAACAGGCTGAAAAGTCACACGAAGTGAAGAAAAAAGCTATCCGATCTGGCGTAACTGTTCCAATAGCTCTTGCAAGGGAATACACCCGCTGCAGTGAGCGAGGTTTTTTTTCGCACTGTCTGTCGCTTCAACGTCAAAGAAGCGTTGAGGACACAGCACATACAAGGCTATGGGCCATCTGTCGCTCCGTGCAGAGATAGAGTGTCCTTTTGCTTAGAGTTCGCCGTTCCTCATCAAGCGACAAACTCCTCCCCTTCGGCACCCGTTCTTGCTCCTTCACCCGAACGTAGTCAGAAGGCGGGTTTCATCTCAGCTTGTGCAGCATGCCAGTATCCTTCGGTGAGTTTCAGTCGCCTATAAAAGCTACAACGCGTGGGGCACATCATTGATTTGAACTTTATAGAGAACATGACGGCGACGGCGAACGAAATGCGTCTTGGATGTATATAGGTATAATTATTATCGCCATACAAGAAAAGGATAAACACCATATTAGTATTTTATTTGTTCTACTAAAGCCGGATGGTGACGTCAAGCAGTGTCCAGAGCAATACGAGGCAAACAGCGAGGCTACAAATATGTTTCTGCAATAGCGGGAAATTGCTGCGACTCTGTTGCTTATACAGGAGCGCATGCAAAACGCACGAATGAAACTCAAGCTCCGAGCGCCCCGTTTCGTGTTTCCCTCGCACTAAGCTCCATCCACTAAGCCCGATGAAGCAGTCATGAATAGGCAGCTCATTAAGTCTTCTGCGTCTTCGCATCTCGCTTCAGCTCGAGAAGTGGCGTCATATATTTTGAACTAGCGAAAAGGGAAGGTCATCATTGCCTCATTTTCGTTAGCGTGCCGGGCGGTGCTTAGCGTCGTTCCATACCCGACGCACCTGTCCTCTTTCTTTTATATATTTTTATACGGTAGTTCGCTCATCCTTCCAGCGCTTCACTTTGAACGGACCTGGACGCTTCACTAAGCGCGAACGTCTGTTCATAGTTCTAATTTTTGTTTTCTTGCTTGCTGCGCGGCGGGCGGTCCTATGAAAAGCACTAGCTGCTAATGACCCGGAGTTATTTCTCGCGAAGAGACGTCAAACGGGCTACGCGCCTCTATTAATTGCACGTACCCTGCCGTGTACATCATTAAGATCGCTTAACTAGCAGTGTGAGGTCATCACTTGCTCTCTCTTTTTTTAACCGTTTGCAAACTTCCTTCACAAAGTTCACGAAGAAGTTTTCAGTCCTAACAACGGTCACGACAGTGATGAAGAAACAGAAAAAAGAGGTTATGAGTTTTAGAATGTACTTGAGTGCATCCTAGGCAAGAAGAGATGAGTTGTCTTTTCAAACTATAGTTTGAAAGGCAAGCTGCCGGTATTGGGTTTTGAAACCCATTTGCCTGAAACCTTCAAACGCAGTTGTCACAAGAATAATCTTGATTCTTGACCATTCAGGAAAAGGAATAATACACCTGGCCCATTTTTCTTCACCGTAACACAATGTGTACTCACGTTCAGTAACACCGGTTCTAATTGCGTAAATGATGCTCGAGTGGACGTAATACCGGCCAAACACATTAGGCTTTCACTGCGGCTGTTACGAAGCACTGCTACCTAAAAATGAAGACGTATTTTGCATTCTGTTAGTTCAATAGAAAATTTACACTCGTGCTCGTAGTACCCAACATGACTCTATTATAAGTAATTGCACGTTGCGCAGTCTGTGAAAAGGCCAGAAAAAAAAAGATCCGAGCTGCGCCACATTCGCAAGGCAATAAAACGACAGGCCTGCGCGGAAGGCGCAGCACAGTCACAGCCAAAGCTGGAAGAGCGGCTTTCCAGAGCCTTTTTTAAACGCTCAGTAACTTGAGTAACTAGTGCAAGCACACTTGCTGGGTACCCACTACGGCATTAATAACAAAATGTTTTGGGTAGTATATGCCGGCATTGGCTATGCTATTTTTCGTCATTCTTCTGAGAAGCGTGGTATCCGTTAAACACTTGCAAAAAAATTTGTGCCAATTGTTCATGCAGTGGATGAAGAATTGTGTCTTAAGTTGGTATGCGCCACAGTTAATAGGTGATGAAGAATAAGCTGTTCTAGTGCACGTGGGTTGAAGCATTGGATAACCCACTCGTTACGCTATTCGCATCCTGTGAAGACTGGTTGTTCTTTTGCAGTTCTAAAACGCTTCACAAGTCGTATTAACGCGATTCCTTTCCCGACATCAAGCCTGCCTAAGGCAAGTTTGCGAACAACTCCAAAAAAACTGGCCTGACTCAGTAGTAGAATAAAGGACTGGCACCCAGCGGACCCATGTTCAAGCCCCACTGTAACATTGGTACTAAGTTTTTTTTTTATTTTGCTCGATGTGGCGACGGACACCGGCGGTGGCGGACGAAAACGGCGCTACGTGTGACCCGAGTTTTAATGTCATAACAGCTTTCGCTGTAAAATGCTTAGGCTTGTACTACTCGGCTTCCCCTATTGTGCCTGTGGGTATACGTTTCTATGAAATCTATGAATGACGTAGGCGCAAGTGACCTTAACATCAAGTTGAAGCACCTCTCCCTTTCTGAAGGTCTGGGAACGGTCGCGCGCGCCCTGTCTTGACAGGGATTAGCAAGTGACTTCGGTCTTTGTTTCAGTTGCCTTCGACTATTGAGATTGCGCAGAAGCGGCAGACAACATGAAGGCCCCTTCGATCGCTGCAGTGCCGGCGTTCCCGTTCACCACCACTTTGTATGGTTACGCCAGATCGTATAGTAATAAACTTAGCGGTTAGCCTTGCATTGTACAGGACCCAATTTACGGTGGTCGCATTCACTGATTAGTCCTTGCAATAAAACTGACATTTAACAGCACAGCCATCAAAGCTTTTCGTTCGGCGTTCGCAAAAGTTCGACGGGTATGTGACACTGAAAGCGCATATATACCATGCAGCTCTTATGGGAGCCATTGGCGGCTATTCTTGTCTATAGCCAATCTATACCCTTTCAATTGCTAGTCAGTATTCAATCATTAACAAATACATTATATGCTATGCTTGAATGTGCTTATGATGGTTGAGCTACATGGACAAAGCCAGCAGATAGCCAAGCGATAACCATTCAACTGCCAATTATTAACCAATCGATAGGTCATCTATAATCTATGAAACACCAATAAATTTTAAAATAACGCTTGGATGTGCTTAGCAAAGCCCAAATACATGGCCAAAGCCCAGTAATAACCAATCGATAGCAGTGAGTAACACATGGACAAGCGATAAAGAACCAACAAATTCGAAATATGTTTGGATGGCCTTGGCTCTACTCGTATGCATGATCTTGTGATAAGAAATCGAAAGCAAATCATAGCTAATCGATATTGGATCAATAACTAATATGTAATAACAATATCTGGAATCTAAGGTCCCCAAACTACGACGTGGTTATCAGGGCCGCTACAGTGGAGGGATTCGGAAATTTCCAACATCTGGTGTTCTGAACTTGGTCGTGAAACTTGTTTCAAAAATTTTCTCCTACCCTTGCATTCTAAATTTTGGCCATCCGTTCAATGCTATACCTCGAGTTGTTTGATCGTATGGGTTTATTTAATAGCTATAAATGCACAATATATCTCCACCTGCATTCCCTTAAACCATACAGCTAACGTCATACTAGGCCGGGCAATCAAAATCCTCTTGTCCAAAGTACAAAGCAACAAAACTATGCCCCTGGGGTATACTTTGAACGAGGTTCGGAGCGTCATAACGTTCGAACTGCGTTGACGTAAAGACGTCACATGCACAATTCGTTTCGACTATTCGACGCTGATGCGCGCGAAGATGATTTGAATGCTACACAAAGTTACAAAACAAGCCCTCACAGCAAGCGCACAGAACGAAAAAAAAAGTAAAGACAAAAAAGTAAAGAGAGGAAAAATAGGAAGGGTAAAAGATGAAAAAAGAGGCATAAAAATAACAGATCATGCATAGCCATGTATAGTATAAGATCGTAGGGAGATGGAAAAAAGTTGAGGGCGAGGAGGTTGAAAAGGAACGAAGGAAACGGCACCAGCTTGGCAGCTTCCTCACCGTCTGCGCCGCTATATGGCATAGCTACCCCACTTTTTTATTGTTGTTGAAAACTACTGGCGAATGAAGTAAAGAAAATACTGCCCACTTTACCGCCCAGAACAGCTAGTGCACGTCACGGCTTTAGCAAAACTTTTCCGCTTTCCAGCCAGCCCCGGAAGCGAGCAACTCACCTTCGATGACGTGCACGACGAGGTCGGACTTGTCGAAGTCGTACTTCAGCCGGAAGTGCAGTCGTCCGGCGTTTGTCGGCGCGGCCAGGGTGGCCGAGGCAGAGTGGGACGCAACGTCGCGCGACTGGAAGAACACCGCCTCTTTCTTGCGGTACAAGTCCGGTTGGATGCCGCCTGCAACAGGCCGCACGCCAATCAAATGCCTCTCCGTGGACGTAATAACGCAATTTTCCGCGCGTACGAGTGACAACGTTGTAATATACCTATATGACGCAGGCAGCCTAAACTGCGGTTAACTTAACCATGGAAGAAGAAAAAGAAAGGAGTGAGAATGACGTCATGCCGCCAGCCTTTGCAGACCAACCCGTTTTGAAGTCAGCAGTGTCGGCCCAACAAGTGACCGTTTGCATCTAGATCTCGCAAGTGATGAGACTTCCCGAGACTACATAGTGTGGCACTCGGTAGCTTTTATCCAAAATACGCTCCTTCGGCGCAGACCGGCTGTCTCACACTGAAGGTTTGAAAACAAAACACCACCGAGAGTGCTAAAACCTACCACACGCTCCGACGTTTACGGAACACCACCGAGAATACTAGAACTTACCACGTGCTTTGACGTTTTGGTAATATGTTGGCCGACACCGTGGGCGTCACTCGTGCAGCGTAATGCTCCCTCTTTGTCTTATTTTCTTCCTCCATGAACGTAACCACGGTTACGTGTAACCGCGGTTCGCGCACGTTACACGATACGCGAAACCATGGTTACGCTGCTAATCGCGGTCGTAATAAACCGAGCTTTGGGAGCCTGGGTTTGGCGGTTGACCGAGGAAATAGTGACTTTCACGGAGGATGAGCTGATTCACGGCCGCTGGATGAACTTTTATCCAGCGGCCGTGGCTGACCGCCTTGACCGAGGACACCTTTTCACTGTATAACATCGGTGAACCGTGGTCGCTGTTAACTGTAGTTCCACTCGGTTAAACGTGGTTGGCCGTAACCATGGTTAACGTGCCTGTGCAACAGGGGTATTAGGAGTGTTTATCCCGTTATTTTTTTGCCTCTTTCTACCGTTTCTGTCGCGAAACTGCGTTGCGGTTGGCGCGCTACTGAACGTCATGTGATATGGCTTCTTGAGGGGCACAATCTGGCGCCCATGGCTGTGCACTTTTCGAGGTGCATGCATATGTTAGATGCTATCATAGATACCCATTACATACGCCGTAGCTGCATCATGATGCATTCGGCAGACTGGGTGTTATATCCCTATTTTCGATACATTGTACGAAGTATTCTTACTTTAAGATACGACATGCACCTTGGGCTCAAGTGACATGACTGAGCAATTCAGCTTCAGTAGAGGAGATTACAAATCAATGCCGTTTTTTCATTGGTTTACCACAAATAAATGTGGTAGATGCTCTGCAGCGTTTGTAGCAGCAATTAACAGACTGCCCATACTTAATATTAGGGGATTAGCGTCCCAGAACAGCGATATGATTGCGAGAGACGCTGTAGTGGAGGGCTCCACGAATTCCGAGCTTCTGGCGTTTCTTAACGTGCACAGACATCATGCAGCAAAGCCTCCAACCTTTCACCTCCGTCGAAATGCAATCATCGTGGCCGACATCGAACCCACAACGTTTTACCTTTATAATTGGTTTCTAAGCAATAATTGTTACACAGATTGTTGGAACTTCAGAAAAATCAAACCAGCAACTAACCAATGCATACCTTTTGCTTTATTTGTGTTTCAGAAAGTGCTTTTCTTAACACTTGTAATTAAATGTAATGCTCTAGCTAAAAGGTTCACGTATAATATTGTTGCAGATATATTAACGACTTTGCAGTGGAAAACTAGTTCCAGCAGTCAAGATAGCGGCAGTTGTGTTTCTCGAACACCAACACGTCGTCATCCTCTTCGCAAAACCACCGCATTGTGATAGCCGCAACCCCGCAACAATATGTTGCACAGAGGAGACACGTGTTATCTCGAACAGCAATACATATCCCAACGAGTTTGCATACGTAGATTCATAGTGCTCTTCTGTAACAGCCAAGTGCCCCCTCCTTCACACCACGTGGTCTAGCAGTAGCTCCGGGATCGGCTACGATGCCGTGTGATTACGCCATCATGTGACGTTATATGACTTTATGGTGGCGTCAAAAATTTCGGCGACCTGTACGGTCATGACTTCAAAGCCTGACGTCATCCCGTGATGGTTCTTTTTTGAGTCTTACTCAAGTGTATGTTGGCGCAGACACCAATCGTCACTTGAAGCTTGTGACGAGGCATCTAAGAGCTTCATAGAACGTCTGATCGTGAGCACAGTAGTCCGATGGGTAACACACTATGAAAACGCCCTACACTGCAAAGAACACAAACTAGGAGTGGTTGAGCGGCGAAGTGTACGTCAAACATATTCCTCATTCAAGAATTGGAAACGACAACCACTCCTTCATAGCAAGATGCCACAAGGAGCCACAAGGTTTAAGAAAGCGTAATGGGCAATCGCCTGCTTGCAGCATGAAGAGAAAAAGAAATCAATACATATTTCTTTTCTAGCTTCATGCTACAAACAGGTGATCACCAATCACACTTCCCTGAACCTACCGCTAGTTTACGGATTCCGCGGAACCAATCCAAAATATTCATCATACCTTCAATGCTGATAGTATCGCAGTAGACAGGTGGACGCCGTGGTATATGGTTGGTGTTCCACTTTCTATAAAAAAATGCCCTCACCGAACTATCTCGCTCCCACACTCTGTAGCGGGGTCAATTCGGCCTCCTAATTTTATGATACATGGAGGCAGATTCCGAGGGGAGCTCAGTCTACTATAGAGCGTCTCACTACGTTATTAACATCACAGCTGGCCGAAGGCATTTCCCATGTTTCACCAATCAACCGATTCCTGCGCTAGCAGCGGCCACGTAATCCCTGCGAAATTTCTAATCTCATCTGTTCACCTAATTTTATGACCCTTCCTTGCACACTTGCATTCTGCTGAAATGTAGTCCTTTATTTTAAATGATTACTTGTTGCCTTGCAGTCACGCTACAGACCCTGCGTATGCCCATTTCTTCACTCTGATGAAGGTGAATAGTATAGGCTAGTGTGCTGTGCGATGTGTCAGTGCACATTCTCAGACTAAAATCAAAGTGCAACCACTGCGGCCAGGATTGAAACCCGCGACCTTCAGGTTCACGTCCGAGGACCGGACCGCCAAACCACCAAGTCGGGGCTCAGTTCAGTCAGCGCGGGCTTGTCTTTTCTTCTCTTCTTTCGTATTCTCATCCTACATCATAGTCCAGTGATCGAGGTTTAGTGCCGCCATGTTCCATGGCAATGCGCACCCACCGATGGGACTGGCCGGGTCCTGGGCGTGGGGCGCGGGCGAGAGCAGCGGCGACAGGGACCGCGGCCGAGGCGACGTCGGTTCGGGCAGCGTCTCGGGAGACGGCGTCCGCCTTTCAGCCGATATGGAGAGCCGGTGCACCAGCAGCGGCATGGCGCGGGCGTCCACCGACTTGGCGCGGGCCACGAGCGGTGATCGCCGGAGCCTGGCCGACGGTCCGTCCCCGCCCCCGGCGTCCTCCATGTGCACGTCCGGCAGCGAGAGGCGAACGCAGCCACCGCACTCCTCCTCGTCCTCGCCCCGGTCCCGGAAGATGGACAGGTTCTGCAAGGGAGGTGTTACACATAGACTCGAATTCTGTATTGCTATGAGCCTTATGTCGGTCCACGTTTATACTAACGTCTATTCCCACGTACTTAAGCACACTTGAGTTCATTCGGCACCACAAATATTGTTGGGAGGCCTAAGTTACTGGTATAAAAAAAGGCGAAGGGGGGCTTCTTTCCGGCTATACCTTTCACCTGGAGATCTTAACAATATCTTCTGTGGGTAATCTCTTCACTAAAGATGTCCTTACTAGTTTGTAACCATTGACAACTCGTATTTAAATGTACGAGATGAAAATGCGCTAAGCAGAGCACCAACCATGCTGGACATCGATCTCAAAAAACATTGAAACTACGGTCAATAAACTTAAGTATACGCTAATAGACTCGTGAGTCGACTCACTCAGCCTCATACCGAGCCATGAGTCTGAGGGAGTCTTAGTGAGACATATTTTGGTGAGATTTGGTCTAAATGAGTCCACTTGGAAAAAATTTTGTGAGTTGGAGTCGGAGTGAAACCGAATGCGGAAGATTTTAGTGAGTCTGAGTCCGATTGAACTCAAAGGGCAAATATATTCTATTCATTAGTACGAGTGTGTTTAGAAAAGGTTAACGATTTCTATTACTTGGTACTCTGCTATAGGAACGCAGAAGCCGTCACGTGGGCCTCAAACTTGACAACGTCCCACATTTTTTCCAGACCTAAGCACACAAGGGTCATCGGACACACCATGACTAACTGCTGGTTCACTGCTGTGCTAACCATATTGAAGGGCCCAGTTGGGTGCACGCAATTGATCCGGGAGAGATAAGTGAATGGACGGACAAATGCTACAACCATTTATTTGATTGATTTTTTTTAATATGTGGGGTTTAACGTCTCAAAATCACCATATGATTATGAAATACGCCATACTGAAGGGCTCTTGAAATTTCGACCAACTGGGGTTCTTTGACGTGCACCAAAATCTAAGTACATGGGCCCACAACATTTCCGCCTCCGTCGCAAATGCAGCCGCTGCAGCCGGGATTCGATCCCGCGACTAGCGGGCCAGCAGCCGAGTACCTTAGCCACTAGACCACCGCGGCGGGGCAAATTTTGGAACCATTCCCTTTGCATCATGGTGGTGGAAAGTGCCTCCTGTCTCTTCAATTTCCTTTTTATCCTCTCTTCCTGATGCTACTAACCACATTTCCATTCTGACTTTTTTAGGGGCGAAGAACCTTACGCCATAGGTCTAACGTCCCGTGTCGTCGTCGTAGTAGCAGTAGCTAGTATCAAAGTTTTAAAACGGTGTCACAGCATATCCATAGAGTAAATGATGATGAGTGGGGCGAAGCATCCGGGCATCCGTCCGTCCGTCCGCTTTGCCCCCCTCGTCATCTTTCACCTCGTGAATATGCTGTGATTTTTTGCCGTTTTACGCCACCAATCTACCAGCCTTCTCTTACTTTTCCTAACCATGGATTCATTTATGGGTCTCTAACTGTCCCAGGACTTTTTTTTGGCCATGGGAGTGATACCTTCGAGATAAACCATTACGTGGTCTATGGTTTTATTGCGATAGAATTTATATGAGCACTCTCGGCTGAATTTTTCCGTCTGCGTCATTGTCACTCACCGTATACGTATACGTATCTATTCATATAAAAACGCAAAAAAGAAAACTAATTCAGAAAATAACTTCGGCGCACGCAATCGAAGGTGGGACCCCTGAAGTGCGAGTGCGAGGCGTTCACCACTGAGCTATACAAAGGACACCTCCTTGAATGTTCACATGGCAAGTTATTTATATTTACCACTTACCGTTGGTGACGGGCGTCTTGGGGAGGGGGAAACTATCATGTTTTCCGCATTACCAGCAAGATGGCGCAATGAGCGCGCGTTGCCACATCGTCACAACCCGGTGGCGCGCACTCTCCCACGCGTACTTTCCCTCGTTACAGTGGCCCTATTCTAGCCACTGTACCCTCGTGGAGAGAACGCTGGCGGACGCTCACTTGCGCTCTCTTATCTCGAGATTTATTTCAGCTGCTGAACGCCGCTGGTGCTCCGGTGGTTCGCGTTGCAGGAGACTCTGAGCCCACAGAACAAACGGGCAAGTCCAGTGTGAATAGCATTTTCAACGACTTCAACGACGTGTTTTCCGAGGAACTGGGGCTCATCATAGGCCCTCCGGTCAGTCTGCACCTAAAAGAAGGCGCCGTACCTAAGTTCTGTAAGTCCAGACCCATTCCATATGCGCTACGCGACCGCGTGTCACTTGAACTTGATCGGTTAGTGTCCTTAGGCGTGTTATCACCGCTGGCACACTCGGAATGGGCGTCACCTATAGTAGTAGTTCTTAAGAAAGACGGCGCAGTGAGAATCTGCGGTGATTTCAAGGCCACAGTGAATCCCGCATGCGCCACTGAACAATATCCCTTGCCTATCATTGAAGATATGTTTGCGCAACTACACGATGGGGATTGTTTAAGCACACTGGATTTACGGGACGCATACAATCAAGTGGCACTGGATGAGTCGGCAAAGAAAATTTGCGTCATTAACATGCCGAAAGGGCTTTTTTGCTACAACCGACTGCCTTTCGGAATAGCCTCTGCACCCGCAATATTCCACAGAAAAATGGATGAGGTTCTAGCTGGTCTGGTGGGTGCACAAGCTTACCTTGACGACGTGCTCATTTCTGAAAAATCAAGCGACAGTGGTGAAAGGCTGAAAAACGTTTTGGAGCGGTTTCGAGAGAGAGGCGTAAAGTAGAGACACGATAAGTGCAAGCTGCGCAGCCCAGCAGTTGCCTATCTCGGGCATCGCATCGATCGCGATGGGCTTCATCCGACAGAGAAAAACCTCGATGCTATCATGCAGGCGCAGAGCCCCCGTAATGTCGGCGAACTGCGGTCTTTTTTTGGGAATGATCACGTTCTGCGCGAGGTTTCTGCCTAACATGTCGACCACACTTTTTCCTTTGTATCAGCTGCTGGAAAAGAATGCGCGCTGGCACTGGGAACAGCCTCACAAGCTTGCGTTTAAGGTTGCTAAGCAAAGCCTCAAAGCAGCCAAGGTTCTCGTCCATTTCGACCCTTCAAAGGAACTAAAACTTGAGTGCGACGCGTCGCCATACGGAGTGGGTGCGGTCTTGTTTCACACGATAGGAAACGTCCACAAGCCGATCGGCTTTCGCTCGCGTACGTTAACACAGGCGGAGCGCAACTATTCACAGCTCGAGCGAGAGGCACTGGCACTGGTATTTGGCGTAACTAAATTCCGCGACTACCTTCTAGGTCGGGAATTTACCTTGGTGACTGACCACCAACCGTTGCTGGGCTGTTGAGGTCAGACAGGCAGACGCCCACAATGGCCGCTGCCCGGATCCAACGTTGGGCGCTTCAGCTGGGGGCCTACCGGTACCAGCTGCAGTACGCCCCAGGACGACAGATGCTGATGCCTTAAGCCGCCTGCCGCTGCAAACTACGGAAACTGACGAAGACGGTGAGCCACTCGAATATGTACTCTCGCTAAACCAGCTGAACAACGGTGTCGTGACAACGCGTGAGCTGAAGGCCTGCACCGCTTCGGATCCTGTCCTGGCAGAAGTCAAATGGTACATATTACATGGGTGGCCCAGACACGCCAACGGGCTGGCAAGGGACCTACTGCCATTTTTTTGACCGTAAGCTAGAGCTATCCGTTGCACATGACCTTGTTTATTGGGGCAATAGGGTCATAATACCAGCCGAAGCAAGAGTGCAAGTGCTGCAGCTTTTACATGAGACTCACCAGGGTTCGCCGGCAATGAAATCTGTCGCGCGCTCTTTGTTTTGGTGGCCAGGCCTAGACAGAAATATTGAAGAGGTGTCTACTCAGTGCCAGAACTGTGTTCAAAATTTGCCGATGCCAACCGCGGCGCCCGTTGTCAAGTGGCCGGAAACCGGCGAAAGGTGGTCCCGCATTCACATTGACTACGCGGGGCCGATCGGCGGAAAAATGATACTCGTCATAGTTGACGCCCACACGAAATGGCTCGAAGCCGTACCTCTGTCACATGCTTCAACGGAAACCACCATTAACTGCTTACGTGCCATTTTCAGCAGGTTTGGGGTACCACGCACAATCGTGTCCGACAACGGGACTCAGTTTTCCAGCCATGATTTTGAGGAATTCGTAGCAAACAACAACATAGTGCACCTCCGATGTGCGCCTTACCACCCCCAGTCTAATGGTGCAGCGAAAAGGGCAGTGCGGACTATAAAAGATGGCCTTCGAAAATTGAGGAGAGGAAAGCTAGAGAAGAATCTGATACGCTTGCTGTTTAACTATCGGAGGACGCCACAAAAGTGCGGTAAATCCCCAGCAGAGTTGCTCTTGGGTTACCGAATACGCTCACGGCTGGACACATGTTTTCCTCCAGCCCTTACAGGATCAAAAGAAGACCAAGGGGACTGGCTGCCGCTACCAGGAAGTGACGTATACGCCCGCAATTATGGTGCGGGGAGCAAATGGACGCCTGGCAATGTGAAGGCGACGTCTGGAGCGAGAATGGTGACCGTGAACACTCCGGACGGGGTCGTCCAGCGGCATGTTGATCAACTTCGCCCGCGACAGGACTCGCCACCAGTAACAACTGCCACAAGTCCCAGCGAGTCAGACCAAGCAACGGAACCATCGCCTCCGGAACCAGTAAGCTCGAATGCAGGCATGTCTTCTCGGCTCATCCCTAATGATGCTGGTTCTGCACAACGTGCATCACCGAAGATCACGGCCGTCCCGATGAGTACCGGTGTCGCCCAACAAGCCCTCAGGCGTTCAACCAGAGAACGCAGGACAGTACAACGCTTTCGATTCTAAGGGGGAAGGAATGTTGTGTCTTCGCGGTTTCTGTGTGTGTGTGTGCGCGCGCACTTGTTGACGCCTCAGCT